ATTTAATGAGAGGTTTACCAAACCAAAAACAAAACAAATATATATATATATATATATATATATATATATATATATATATATATATACTTGATAATGAATAGATAAATAAAGATAAGATTTATTCAGTTATGACTGCACATGTTTATTGTTCTTGACCGATATTTTCTACATGTAAAGTTGCTGACCATTTAACCATGGGGTCGACGCTCCTTTGTCTGTGTTATACGTCTAGTAGCGACAGGAATGTCCTTTTATCCGGGTTGATTGCTCCCGTATCCAAAGCAGTATATGGGCCACTTTTCTGTACTACATTTACTTCGAATACGTCAATATATATCAATTATGGCAAGGGGTGAAAAAGGTCACACCTTTGTCCGTGCTATTCACTTCCGAATTGATTTGCCTACTGTCTTTGTCATTTTCTTTCTCACCAGAACAATGATAGGTCTATTAAATGTTTGATATGCATATGTCTAATTACATATAACAAAAACACTAAAAGGACCTGAATAACGCGGAATGTGTTAGAACATCAGCACGGTATCAGCTATTTCAATACTTCTTTTCTCATCGCCGTTGAATTAAAGATGAATATTTCAGAATGAAATGTCGTAAACACCAGATCTTACACTTCTGTTAGAAACTAACAAGAAGTTAAATACGAGAAGAAATCTCGGTTGGAAAGGATCCCTAAGATTACAAGCTTTCAAAGAAACAATACAGCGAGTGTCAAGTTCCGGCAGGGAAATTCTTCATCTGATCTTTTCTCGGATGTCTGAGTTAAAAAGAGTTTGATCAGGAACGTAGTAATCCCCATAAAATAGGTGCACATACAATAATTTTTCGTGGTATTCGGATTTTCTCTCCATGTTGTTGATATCTGTAATTGAAGAGCCATTTATAGTTACATAGCTATGTAGGTTTTCCTGTTGTCGCACCGGTTGTGAGATTCTCCAGTTTAAAAGGCACTGTGTTGATATACATCAGGATACAATATAACAAAACGCTTACAAACGAATCTATTTGGGACATATTGACAACATTGAAACATGTGTATTGTCCCGTGGGAATACGATGTATTCATATGTATCGATTTACCCGTGTTCTTCAGATGGTTTGATTCTGAAATCACATAAAACCATCTGCTTCCTTCCATACAAACCCATCTACTACCATTCATACAAACATGTCTACTTCATTTCATACAAACCTATCTACTACCATTCATACAAACATATCTACTTCATTTCATACAAACCCATCTAATTCCTTCCATACAAACCTACTTCCTTTCATACAAACCCATCTACTACCATTCATACAAACCCATCTACTACCATTCATACAAACTCAGCTACTTTCATTTCATACAAACCTATCTACTACCATTCATACAAACATATCTACTTCATTTCATACAAACCCATCTAATTCCTTCCATACAAACCTACTTCCTTCCATACAAACCCATCTACTACCATTCATACAAACCCATCTACTACCATTCATACAAACCTATCTTTTTACTTTCATACAAACCCATCTACTTTCTTTTTATACAAACCCATCTACTACCATTCATACAAACATATCTACTTCATTTCATACAAACCCATCTAATTCCTTCCATACAAACCTACTTCCTTTCATACAAACCCATCTACTACCATTCATACAAACCCATCTACTACCATTCATACAAACCCAGCTACTTTCATTTCATACAAACCTATCTACTACCATTCATACAAACATATCTACTTCATTTCATACAAACCCATCTAATTCCTTCCATACAAACCTACTTCCTTCCATACAAACCCAGCTACTTTCTTTTTATACAAACCTATCTACTACCATTCATACAAATCTATCTACTTCCTTTCATACAAACCCATCTAATTCCTTCCATACAAACCTACTTCCTTTCATACAAACCCATCTACTACCATTCATACAAATCTATCTATTTCCTTTCATACAAACCCATCTAATTCCTTCCATACAAACCTACTTCCTTTCATACAAACCCATCTACTACCATTCATACAAACCTATCTATTTCCTTTCATACAAACCCATCTACTTTCTTTTTATACAAACCCATCTACTACCATTCATACAAATCTATCTACTTTATTTCATACAAACCCATCTAATTCCTTCCATACAAACCTACTTCCTTTCATACAAACCCATCTACTACCATTCATACAAACCCAGCTACTTTCTTTTTATACAAACCCATCTACTACCATTCATACAAACCTATCTACTTCATTTCATACAAACCCATCCCCTACCATTCATACAAATCTATCTACTTCATTTCATACAAACCCATCTACTACCATTCATACAAACCCATCTTTCTTTTTATACAAACCCATCTACTTCCTTTTTATACAAACCTACTCCTTCCTTTTTATACAAACCCATCTACTTCCTTTCATACAAACCCATCTACTTCCTTTTTATACAAACCCATCTACTTTCTTTTTATACAAACCCATCTACTACCATTCATACAAACCCATCTACTTTCTTTTTATACAAACCCATCTACTTCCTTTTTATACAAACCCATCTACTTCCTTTCATACAAACCCATCTACTTCCTTTTTATACAAACCTTTCTACAAACCAGTAGGCAAACAAACTACTAAGGTTTTCTTTTGGAATCTCCAATGCTTATAACTGACTGCCCATGTAATGTATCTGCTTTGCCTTTTGACGTCCTGACATGTCACATTTGACTCGATGTTAAAGCACTGATTCCCAATATTTCGATATCGATCAAGAATGTCGACAACTCACGGAATACACAGTGATACAAACTGGTGAAAACTGTTGTGACATTTTACAGTGGTCAACATGAACTTATATCTGTCTTAGATGGTCTCCTACAATGTAATTTACCAGATGAATGAACTCATTCTCATTATCATATTTTCAGAAAGTGACTTTACATGGATATAGTTATCACATTTTGGTCCTATTTGAGGGAGCTATTTCGATAATTCTATTGTTTATATTTAATCATCATTTAATTATAACGCCTTTCCTAAAATAAGTGCAATGTGCAAAAACTTCAAACACATCCGCTTACGAAATTTCAGAAACAATTTATTACAATAACATTACATATTACAACGAAGAGAGACGGCCAAATACTTATTTTCCGTCATAATTCGGGTATAGAAAGTCCTAGTATCGGTACAGAAAGTCCTAGTATCGAGTACAGAAAGTCCTAGTATCGAGTACAGAAAGTCTTAGTATCGAGTACAGAAAGTCCTAGTATCGGGTACTGAAAGTCCTAGTATCGGTACAGAAAGTCCTAGTATCGGGTACAGAAAGTCCTAGTATCGGTACAGAAAGTCCTAGTATCGAGTACAGAAAGTCCTAGTATCGAGTACAGAAAGTCCTAGTATCGGGTACTGAAAGTCCTAGTATCGGGTACAGAAAGTCCTAGTATCGGTACTGAAAGTCCTAGTATCGAGTACAGAAAGTCCTAGTATCGGGTACAGAAAGTCCTAGTATCGAGTACAGAAAGTCCTAGTATCGGGTACTGAAAGTCCTAGTATCGGGTACAGAAAGTCCTAGTATCGGGTACAGAAAGTCCTAGTATCGAGTACAGAAAGTCCTAGTATCGGGTACTGAAAGTCCTAGTATCGGGTACAGAAAGTCCTAGTATCGAGTACAGAAAGTCCTAGTATCGGGTACTGAAAGTCCTAGTATCGGGTACAGAAAGTCCTAGTATCGGGTACAGAAAGTCCTAGCATCGGGTACAGAAAGTCCTAGTATCGAGTACAGAAAGTCCTAGTATCGAGTACAGAAAGTCTTAGTATCGAGTACAGAAAGTCCTAGTATCGGGTACTGAAAGTCCTAGTATCGGGTACAGAGAGTCCTAGTATCGGTACAGAAAGTCCTAGTATCGGGTACAGAAAGTCCTAGTATCGGTACAGAAAGTCCTAGTATCGAGTACAGAAAGTCCTAGTATCGAGTACAGAAAGTCCTAGTATCGGGTACTGAAAGTCCTAGTATCGGGTACAGAAAGTCCTAGTATCGGTACTGAAAGTCCTAGTATCGAGTACAGAAAGTCCTAGTATCGGGTACAGAAAGTCCTAGTATCGGGTACAAAAAGTCCTAGTATCGAGTACAGAAAGTCCTAGTATCGGGTACTGAAAGTCCTAGTATCGGGTACAGAAAGTCCTAGTATCGGGTACTGAAAGTCCTAGTATCGGGTACAGAAAGTCCTAGTATCGGGTACTGAAAGTCCTAGTATCGGGTACAGAAAGTCCTAGTATCGGGTACTGAAAGTCCTAGTATCGGGTACAGAAAGTCCTAGTATCGGTACAGAAAGTCCTAGTATCGGGTACAGAAAGTCCTAGTATCGAGTACAGAAAGTCCTAGTATCGGTACTGAAAGTCCTAGTATCGCGTACAGAAAGTCCTAGTATCGGGTACAGAAAGTCCTAGTATCAAGTACAGAAAGTCCTAGTATCGGGTACAGAAAGTCCTAGTATCGGGTACAGAAAGTCCTAGTATCGAGTACAGAAAGTCCTAGTATCGGGTACTGAAAGTCCTAGTATCGGGTACTGAAAGTCCTAGTATCGGATACAGAAAGTCTTAGTATCGGGTACAGAAAGTCCTAGTATCGAGTACAGAAAGTCCTAGTATCGGTACAGAAAATCCTAGTATCGGGTACAGAAAGTCCTAGTATCGAGTACAGAAAGTCCTAGTATCGGGTACTTAAAGTCCTAGTATCGGGTACAGAAAGTCCTAGTATCGGTACAGAAAGTCTTAGTATCGGGTACAGAAAGTCCTAGTATCGGGTACAGAAAGTCCTAGTATCGGTACAGAAAGTCTTAGTATCGGGTACAGAAAGTCCTAGTATCGGGTACAGAAAGTCTTAGTATCGGGAAGAGAAAGTCCTAGTATCGGTACAGAAAGTCCTAGTATCGGTACAGAAAGTCCTATTAGTATCGGGTACAGAAAGTCCTAGTATCGAGTACAGTTAGCTGATGAGTATTGGGTACAGATATCATCAGACGTGGTCTCCTTGTATCCAACGGCAGTGCTAAGTCCAGAACCTAAAACATATTAAATCCATTAAAATAATTAGATAAAGCTAATACATGTAACAGGAGTATTTTGCCATGATGGTTTAGATTAGATGTCATGACATGTACAGCTTGACAGCCTGAACGTAATTATATCAAAATACCCATGTAGTATGTTACCATGTTAATTGTGTTTTGTTTTAACAGAAAAGAGCTAACTCATTCGGAACACTTTGCCTCGATTACAGTGCCTTTCACTCTTGAAATCAGCAGATGAATTCCTATTGCTTCGAAATAATGGACGAGGCTCATTCGGTTTTCGTTTGAATTTGTGTATTGAACAAACTATTGGACATCTCAAAGGGGACAATGTCACGAAATATACCTGTACCACCATAGGTTTGAAGACAGTGTTACAAAACATACCTGTACCACCATAGGTTTGAAGACAGTGTTACAAAACATACCTGTACCACCACAGGTTTGAAGACAGTGTTACAAAACATACCTGTAGCACCATAGGTTTGAAGACATTGTTACAAAACACACCTGTAGCACCATAGGTTCGGAGACAGTGTTACAAAGCATACCTGTAGCACCATAGGTTTGAAGACAGTGTTACAAAACATACTTGTAGTACCATAGGTTTGAAGACATTGTTACAAAACATACCTGTACCACCATAGGTTTGGAGACAGTGTTACAAAACATACCTGTGATGAGGTTGTTCATGTTGCAGTAGTTAGTTCCGAAGTCGAGGTAAGCATACCAGGTCTCTGATCGAGAATATCCCTGTAAATATAAAGCTATTGCTGAGTACTACTATTGATGTGTTTATAGAGTTCTTTAACCGGAATTACAAATACATTTAGGACAAAACAGTTGTAGAAGGACAAAACTGCTGTAAACGACAAACCAGCTGAATCAGGATAAACCAGCTGTAAAAGGACAAAACTGCTGAAGGTGTCAAAATTTCTGTAGGACAAAACTGCTGAAGGTGACAAAATTTCTGTAGGACAAAACTGCTGTACAAGGATAAAACTGCTGAAGGTGACAAAATGTCTGTAGAAGGACAAAACTGCTGTAAAAGGATAAAACTGCTGAAGGTGACAAAACAGTTGTAGAAGGACGAAACTTTTCAATTTATTATGTGGAATATGATGTATCTAATACTTAAGGACTACGTATGGCCTTCGGCTTTTCTGACCCTAAAATCCAACTCAGTTGCCCTTAGGCACTATAGAGTACATTCTTTAGCAAATCTGATATCGAATGAAAATATATAGGGTCTTATGCTACAGTTACATGCTGTTTTCATAGTTTCAAGAAAAATATCCAAACATATGTTACACAATTGACAAGATATTTAAAACCACTTATATATGTAAAATTGACGGACTTTGCAACAGTGATTTAATACAGTGATTTTGGAGTTCTATTTGATGGATTTAGGGACAACAAGACCGAAACCGTGCATAATTCTTCGTTTTTAAAGATGCCTGAATATATTAAAATATGAAATGTTACTTACGGCGACATTACACCCGTTACCGTTGGCCGTGAAGGTAAAGCTGATGTCATCGATGTACGGATGGAGAGGGGTTTCATGGGTAGCCTTCAGAACGTTGCCATCATTTGATACCAGCTGGTGAAGCAATTGTGAGGAGTCTTTTTAATTCACATTGTACTGCTTTTCACAAAAAATGTACTTATCATGACAAACATTATATTTTTCATAACAAACATTGTATTTTTTTTTAATTGTACTTTTTATATAAAAGTGTATTGCATTTCATGACAAATATTGCACTTTTTATTATTAACATTGCACCACTTTTCATGACAAGTATTTTACTGTAATAATGAACTAATCGGCAAGCTGTAAATTTAACTATATATCATAGAACTATACCTATCACAGGTACATATACCATGTTAATGTCACTTAGTTTTTGATTCAATTAAATTATCAAAAAGGGATTTAAACATTTTGAATTACCACGTACAGAAATTACTTACTACGTACATACATCAATTATCACATACAGATATTAATTACCACGTACAGACTTTAATTACCACATACAGACATCATTACCACGTACAGACATTAATTACCACAAACAGACATTAATAACCACATACAGACATTAATTACCACACACATACATTAATTACCACATACATACATTAATTACCACATACAGACATTAATTACCACGTACATACATTAATTACCACATACAGACATTACTTACCACATACAGATATAAATTACCACATACAGACATTAATTACCACAAACAGACATTAGTTACCACAAACAGACATACTTACCACATACAGACATTAATTACCACGTACAAACATTAATTACCACATACAGACATTAATTACCACGTACAAACATTAATTACCACATACAGACATTAATTACCACGTACAAACATTAATTACCACAAACAGATATTAATTACCACATACAGACATTAATTACCACAAACAGACATTAGTTACCACAAACAGACATACTTACCACATACAGACATTAATTACCACGTACATACATTAATTACCACATACAGACATTAATTACCACGTACAAACATTAATTACCACATACAGACATTAATTACCACGTACAAACATTAATTACCACATACAGACATTAATTACCACATACAGACATTAATTACCACAAACAGACATTAGTTACCACAAACAGACATACTTACCACATACAGACATTAATTACCACGTACATACATTAATTACCACATACAGACATTAATTACCACGTACAAACATTAATTACCACATACAGACATTAATTACCACGTACAAACATTAATTACCACATACAGACATTAATTACCACATACAGACATTAATTACCACAAACAGACATTAGTTACCACAAACAGACATACTTACCACATACAGACATTAATTACCACGTACAAACATTAATTACCACATACAGACATTAATTACCACGTACAAACATTAATTACCACATACAGACATTAATTACCACAAACAGACATTAGTTACCACAAACAGACATACTTACCACATACAGACATTAATTACCACGTACATACATTAATTACCACATACAGACATTAATTACCACGTACAAACATTAATTACCACATACAGACATTAATTACCACATACAGACATTAATTACCACGTACATACATCAATTACCACATATAGACATTACTTACCACATACAGATATTAATTACCACATACAGACATTAATTACCACAAACAGACATTAGTTACCACAAACAGACATACTTACCACGTACAGACATTAATTACCACATACAGATATTAATTACCACATACAGACATTAATTACCACAAACAGACATTAGTTACCACAAACACACATACTTACCACGTACAGACATTTCTCATTAAGTTCCGGTGTATTGATCTTACATCCGTCTCGACCTTTCCAAAGATTGATTTGACTCACAAGCTTAGCTCTGACTTGATCACATGACATTCCAAATGTGCTGTATATGACAGAATGATATTAATAACTATATATGCACCCTGCTGTGAAGAATTTTAAGGAATTATTGATATTTGAAATCGATTGTAAACGATTCGAGACTTTTTAATTTCGCGTTTTTATCAGATAAATCGAGTTCGCTTCTTATTCGACCCATTTCTGAAACTTATCATTTTTACCTCCAGAAAAAAATTGTGGACACAATGAAGAAACTGCACATCGCGATCGTAATGATCAATCGTCCAGTTCAGTAACAAGTCACCAAGAGTTGTCTCCCTTCGTACCAACACGCATACACATTTCGATTTCTTCTGCGTTATTCAACTTTTAATGTAATTGTCGAATATATTCTTCTTTTTGATCATATTTTTCTAGATATTGATTAAAGGTCTCTGGTACATGACTTTTTATTCGAAATGAAATTCTCTACGAGTGTGCCCCGTCGATGTATTATATATGGCCTATAGGAAATAAATGGACGCCTGTGAGAATTTTAATCATTATCTCAAAATACTTACAGAGCTGTCCTGCAGGAGGCGTGCAGTGGATAACCAAGCAGTACAGTGCATGATGCTGACAGAATGCAGGCCAAGAGAGCTAACGACACGTGAGACATGTTGTACAGCTATCGGAATCTAGGTGGCACAGGTATGGTTATATCACCTGACGGGACAACCTTGATGTGGAAGATTGTGTCGATAAGACTTCAGCCAATCGGTCAATCGTCCTCGTGTACGGCCTATATTCTTGACCGGACATGGGCGTATTAAATGGTCTTATCTTAGAATTTGTGCACCATGTGTATCTTCTAAGGGATCTAACCCGAATTACGAAATCGTTTGAGATATGAAAGGAGTCGCTATTTTCATCTTTTCATCATTTCATCTTTTAAACTTTCCTTAATGGCATAAATGTTTGTTTTTGTTTTTGGGGGGTTTTTTTTGTCTTTTTTTTCGTAATATTTTCGAGTCGTTGTGATATATAAACTGTAAATGTGTGACGTCATTTTGATATCATTTGTTGTCATGAAAATATTTTATATGACATAAAGTCCTAAGTAACGATATCTTATTGGTGTACTCATTGAACTGAATACGACAATTATGATAAATCTTATTCATAGACATACATATAGGATATTCATCCAACTTTTTAAAAAAGGGATAAACAAAGAGAAATTTGTCAACATCAGCATTTATCACGTGGAAAGTCATCAATGTTTTTAGGTATACTGACCACACAACTAGACACTAAGCTATCCTACCTCTTTTTCAGTACCTAAAATAGCAAAATATACCTGTGCCGTTCTCAACCAATCGTTGTAAACGTAGTTCCACTTTTCCATGACATCTTCACCATAACAACAATTGTTACAAACTTTAAACCAATAAAATTGATCAACTTTCCAAACGATCCGCGTAAAGGATACAAACTGTTGTTGTTCATTTCACTAAATATTAAAATTAAATATTTGGTGTAAGAGTTATTCTACTCGTGTGATGTATAGATAAGTGATTTCCGTGTCTGGAGGTTCCTTTTTTATTCACCATGGTTCTCTCACCTGAGAACGTGACATTACTTGCTTTCGTTGACCAAGATTTACGTGGAGGATTTATTTCAGACATATTTTATTGTTTAAAAAACAATTAAAGGTATCGGGCACAAGTTCTGACAACTTACTAGGCCCTCTCCTGGCACAATCAAAGGGATTGGACACAAGTTCTGACTATTTACTAGGCCCTCTCCTGACAACACACGATATAACTAAAGATATCACGTGATGGAGGGATTCAACATATATATAAGCTACTAAATAACACGAAAAAGCAAGAAGAGAAAGAAAGAGTGGGGAGGGAGGTGAAAGAAGGGGACAGAAGGATGTGGATAGGTGGGGGATTCTGGTTGTAGTAGCTGTCCACTAGTCAGTATAAAACCTCGAACTTGATTTCATAAATGACTGTACAGCAAGTACTACTGGGGGACTGGATAGATATCCATGTTTGGCCGAGCATCAAACAATCTTATTCGAAGGTTAGGAAAAATTGAACAGACAAAAAAATCGTTGATATCTGTGTTAATTTTTCATTTGTTCATGTTTTGCCCTACTGTTCTCGAATTCGAATTATGATTTTACCAACAAGTCTGTACACTGTACTAGAATTCTTTACAATCTAGTTATGTTTATGAATAATGAGACAAACAATGTTTTACTTCATGTATACATCATGTATGAAGAATGGAAAGGTATTTCATCCCCTCCCCCCACTCCCCCCTTAAAAAGTCTCTGGTATTTCCCTCCTACTATTTTGAAACATTGGTGGATTTCGTCAGCAACGATGGCTGAAATTGTAAAGATGCACTACCTCTCATATAATTTAGGGAAATCACGCTGCGGTTAAAATTGTTTGCCACATTTAAACTTGTCTTCTTTCTACAGTAGCTGATTGTGCCATTTTGTTATTTCGACCAAAGAAAAGAGGAAAAACGACAAATCATAGACGAAAAAATCAAAATAAATGCACGCTAATTAGCGATCTTGATTAAATGACTCCTCTGTCATTGTTTACACGCGTCTACCACATATAGTTTTGCTGTATTCGGCAGTGGTGGCAATCAGCTGTGTTTTCGCACGTGCATTAATATCACATAATTACTTTCTAGTTTACTGAAATATTGCATTTAAAAATATACACACATGTTCAATAAGCGACTTCATTTGTTGCAATGAAGAGGCTTACTTACGAAAATTCATGAAATTACTTTTATATTCATTGATGCTTGGAACTATATTTCCGCGCGGTACAATTTATTTGTCCTTCGTCGTTTAGAACTATATTTCCGCGCGGTACAATTTATTTGTCCTTCGTCGTTTAGAACTATATTTCCGCGCGGTACAATTCATTTGTCCTTCGTCGTTTAGAACTATATTTCCGCGCGGTACAATTTATTTGTCCTTCGACGTTTAGAACTATATTTCCGCGCGGTACAATTTATTTGTCCTTCGTCGTTTAGAACTATATTTCCGCGCGGTACAATTTATTTGTCCTTCGTCGTTTAGAACTATATTTCCGCGCGGTACAATTTATTTGTCCTTCGTCGTTTGGAACTATATTTCCGCGCGGTGCAATTTATTTGTCCTTCGTCGTTTGGAACTATATTTCCGCGCGGTACAATTTATTTGTCCTTCGTCGTTTAGAACTATATTTCCAGGGAACAAGCACTTTGGTGTACGTCATCAGGATTAGTTCGGCGTAACGTCAACGTCAAGTAAACACGTATTTAGCGGCCTGAAATGTTGCGGGACAAAAAAGAATATATGGTCATTTTCTTAAAATGCAGCTTTAGAATATTTCAAGATACTAAGCGTGTATTCTGTTTTTATTTATAAATTCCAATACACGTATTATTTTCCGCTGCGACCAAATTTTCCTGTTTTTAAGAATACTACTTAAATTATCACAGACTTTCAAAAGCAATGAACTGACCACATTGGACATTGACTACGAGTTATCAAAGTATCAACTATCAACACTTGGAGTTACTCTATCGTGACGGGAACAGATCGGTATTCTTTACCGTACTAACTTCTCTACACAAACACATTTCATATTTTTTCTCCGAGTTTTGCTTTGTTATCGTCAGAAAACTTGTACCGTCAATGTGCTCTTGAATTTTTTTTAATTTTGAGATATAAAATTCAGAATATTATAGAATAATGTCTCAAGTGAAAACTGAGTATGAGACATGATATTTCTTGTTAATAATTTGTAATACAATATTTTCATTGTTTATTTTTGTTTTTTGTTTTTGTTTTTTGTTTTTTTTATTTATTGTGGGTATTTTTTTATTCATTTATTCCATCTACAAATAAATGGAAAATCAAGACATATTGCCCTCAGAAGAGAATACTAGTTTAGTTTTATTTCGGGTCAGTGCACCGGAAATAAAAATTGGCCTAAAATACCAAGATGTGTGGAATCCCGCCATCAGGAGATGATGACAATCGCATAGGTGCACATACCTTCTTCACTGATAACAACAAATAACAAATAAAAAGAAATGTGTACATCAACCATCGGCTTTTCGGCAATAGTTTTTGGTCAAGTATGTATTGTCCGAAATCTAAAGGATTCCCTTGTATATGTGGCAACAACTGCTGTTCCTGTCCTGTTGTTATCCGTGTCGTTGTGTGTGCTGATTGTTAACAGTCCTAACGGTTCAGATGTCATTGTTTATCATGTGTTATTAACTTGGTTTTATTTTTAGACGGGAAGTTGATTATTAATTCTGATGTCGTTGGAGACTAAACCATTTACATACATATTTTGACTTTTGACAAGACCAGGAGTCAAAATTTTTGATGTTTTAACGTAATCAGTATTTTATTATTATTATTATTTCAATATCTATTATTGATTTGTTGGTGTTTTCCTCTTTCCGTGGTTTTGACTATTTAAAACAAGAAAATATGCAGTTATTTCCGAAAGTGGAATATAAGTCTATCTTCCCAGCGAAAACTGGAAATACAAGTCGTATCTTGTTGGTCGTCGTTGTAGGTATTCACTTTGATTTTGGCATGCTGGATTTTATGAGGAAGACAAAGATATCTTGGACAATGCCTGATTTAAAAAACAAAAAATACCTTTTCCTCATAAAAATAAATGTAGCAAACTTGTATATATACGGCGACGTTTTATTTAACAGACTAAACCATCACGGTACACACATTGAAGAAACGTTTTTTTAATATCTAGAACAGTCAGCTGACGTTCGTTGAGTACATGTGTCGTCAGAGGCAGATTCTGAGTATCCATCTGCTGTGGTAAAGCTGGCACCTGTAAAAACGAACAGAAAATTCCAACTAAGAATCGATGAATAGGGAAATAAGAACAAAAGAAATATTTACTTGGAGACCACTGAAAAAAATACAAAAAAAAAAAAGAAAACCAATTGTTACAGAAAATTAACAAATGATTTATTAGATTATGATATAAAAAGAGGTATGGCGTGTAACCGTCGGATTCGACCTAAATGTAACCAACAATACAATAGGTAAATAAACTTTCCATGTCGATAAATTCGGATAGGTATTCCCAATAAACTGTATCGAAATTATCAGAAACAATATATTAAATATATGTCATTTGTTATTTTTAACAGATCGTCAAAGTAGCTGCTGAAGCCTACCCTCGAAAATTGGTACAAGCGAACGCTGACACCAAAAACATGAAAAATCAGACTGGACCAAAACTGTTCGGTGCTTGTGTCGTTGATTGCTACACCGGCGTCTTCAGCACAAACGTTAAGACGTTACTCCCGATCGATCTCAGCTAATTCCATCAAGATACCATGTTTTTCTTTTTGTGCAGTAAACATTTTGAATAAACTAATTCTAATGGCGAAGAACCATTAATTCAAGTATTCATGTTCATATGCACTGCCGCCATTACTGACCAAAACCTGACCTATCACCTTTGGTGGTAATGATTGCAGGCAATGAGTTATAACACAGTGACATAGAGGTCTACTTGACAGTGTAGGAGACATGGTAGATTGTCACCTCAATGTTCAATGTAATTTATGATCATAACAATTCATTTATTAAGGAGTAATCCAGTCATTGACCTAATCTTTTGGTTTGCCTTTGTTGTACGTTTCTCTGCATACACGATAAACAGACCCTTTCCGAACGTACATGTTCTAGATTTAGACATGGTGACTCCGAATGTACATTCACCTGACGTCAATAGCCTTGTAATCTAAATTGGCCTAGTTTATGGACTGAAATTTGTGCTCCGTCAAGAAAAAGCGCCTACCTCTTTGTTAAACTCTTGTACTTTACCAGCCATGTATGTATTAGTAATTATCTCATCCAAACAACCAGGAAATTCTGATACTTACATGGCATTTGTCACAAATTTTCATAATGTTAAACATTTCGCTACTACACCTCCCCTCCCTACACACACATACACTCCCACAACCCCTCTCACACACTCTTACAAACACACACACATTCCCACCACCACACCATCTCACACACCCTCACAAACATACACTCCCACCACCACCCCTCCCATACACCCTCACAAACACATACACTCCCACAACCCCTCTCACACACCCTCACAAACACACACTTCCACCACCTCTCTTACACACCCACATAAACACACGCACACTTCCACCAACCCCCTCGCACACCCTCACAAACACACACTCCCACCACTACCCCTCACACACCCAACAAACACACACCCCACCACCACCCCTCACAAACACACTCCCACCACCCCTCTCACACACCCTCACAAACACACACTCCCTCCACCCCTCTTACATACCCTCACAAACACAAACTCCCACAACCACCCCTCACACCTACACCCACTACCACACCCTCTCTCACACACCCTCACAAACAAACAACCCACCACCACCCCTCACACACCCTCACAAAAACACAACCCACCACCACCCCTCACAAACAGACACACTCCCACCACCCCTCTCACATACCCTCAAAAACACACACACTCCCACCACCCCTCTCACACACCCTCAAAAATACACACACTCCTACCACCACCGCTCACACCCACCACCACCACACCCTCACAAACAGACACACTCCCACCACCCCTCTTACACACCCTCAAAAACACACACACTCCCACCACCGCTCACACACCCTCACACACACTCCCACAACCATCCCTCACACCCACCACCACCACCACAACCTCACAAACACACACTCCCGCAACCACCCCTCACACCCACACCCACCACCACACTCTCTCACACACCCTCACAAACACACACCCACAACCACCACCACACTCTCTCACACACCCTCACAAACACCCACCCACACCCACCACCACACTCTCTCACACACCCTCACAAAAACACACCCACACCCACCACCACACTCTCTCACACACCCTCACAAACACACACACACCCACCACCACACTCTCTCACACACCCTCACACACCCACCACCACACTCTCTCACACACCCTCACAAACACCCACTTGTACTAATGGTCGTACCTATGTTATAACGCAGCTTGTTGATAAACTTTTGCATATTTTTTTATTTACCACAATTTGGTAATAGCCTGATAAAATACATTTACTAAATTTCTCCACATTTTGAAAATAATTACTTAGTTTTGTGAAACAGACGTGATAGGCTGTGACATTTGACGAAATATTTCAAATGGTTAACATTCCGCTGAAGTTGAACGTAAATGTGTTAACAATGTCTGATAAGCGTTGATTCTGCTGACATCACACGAGTAACTAGGTCGATACCTAGAGGCTAAGATAAGGATACTGTATCTCCGAGATAGATAACTATACACTCAGCTCTGAATTATGTTCTTGTAAACGATAAAATGATGTTATTTGTGATATTTTTACTATTAAAACCAGCTTTTGTCCACTTATCAAATAGTCAGTTTTGAAATGTGTAGATAAAGGTTTTGTGTTGCTTACCTTCCAGGAGGTTGAACATGTTACAGTAGTTTGTTCCCTGATCTAGAACGGCATACCAGGTTTCGGCAGTAGAGTACCCCTACAACGATATACACATCGGAATCAGTCCAAGGTTCCAGTCGAAAGTGGAAACATTTCGTATGTGTTTGTCTTCTTGTTTGTTTCTTTGTTGGTTTGTTCATATTCTGTGGGCATGTCTGTGTATGTATCCTTTTTTGTGGGTGGGTGTGCGGGGTGGGTGTGCGGGGGTCGTTTTATGTTTCATCATTTATTGTCCTTTTTCATTATTATTTTTATTGTAATTTCTTCATGTAATTCGCGACAAGAATTAACATTTGAGTGTCATTTATATTTGACAGTCGGTTCCGAATGATCAAATTAGTAATTGTTGTCATTACAAATCGCATTTACAGTATGTGATCTCTTTCGATTTCCATGTAAACATTTCCTGTGTAGGACCGCTTCCGATTTCCACAGTAAACATTTCCTGTGTAGGAACGCTTCCGATTCCCACAGTAAACACTAACAGTGTAGGACCGCTTTCGATTTCCACAGTAAACATTTCCAGTGTAGAACCGCTTTCGATTTCCACAGTAAACATTTCCAGTGTAGGACCGCTTTAGATTTCCACAGTAAACACTTACAGTTTAGGACCGCTTTCGATTTCCACAGTAAACACTAACAGTGTAGGACCGCTTTCGATTTCCACAGTAAACATTTCCAGTGTAGGACCGCTTTCGATTTCCACAGTAAACACTTCCAGTGTAGGACCGCTTTCGATTTCCACAGTAAACATTTCCAGTGTAGGACCGCTTTCGATTTCCAAGTAAACATTTCCAGTGTAGGACCGCTTTCGATTTCCGCAGTAAACATTACAGTGTAGGACCGCTTTCGATTTCCACAGTAAACATTTCCAGTGTAGGACCGCTTTCGATTTCCACAGTAAACATTTCCAGTGTAGGACCGCTTTCGATTTCCGCAGTAAACATTTCCAGTGTAGGACCGCTTTCGATTTCCACAGTAAACACTTACAGTGTAGGACCGCTTTCGATTTCCGCAGTAAACATTTCCAGTGTAGGACCGCTTTCGATTTCCACAGTAAACATTACAGTGTAGGACCGCTTTTGATTTCAACAGTAAACATTTTGGCCTAATTTATTAGTATTCCTGCCATCATACTTCTAGGTCTCGTCAGTAATATTACAAATTAGATAATGGCTTATTTTGCGATGATCGTAGTATTTTGGGGAGTTCCGATTTGAACTATTTATGGAGCAAAATGTCTATTGCACGGCACGTTGCCATTCATTCTTACTGAGGAACGAGTCAAAGTATACTTGTGTACCTTTTTAAATAATGAGATATATAAGAATTACGGATTTTATTGAATTACAGTTTTAAGGCACTTTCTAGATTTCAATATTTCTTTTTATGAATTTTGGTTTTACTATCTGGCTACGGCCAGTTTTCTTTTTTTAATTTTAGACCTTTATCATCACTGACAAGTCCTAGAAGAGCGAAACGACTGTATGATGCAGTTTAATTCATTGTTTAGCTCTACTGTATCTAACTCTATAAATTTTTGTTAGATTATACTATCAATTTCTGTGTGTTTTGTACAATGTTACTGTCCTGAATTATGTATGAAGGTGATTTAGGCATTAGCTGACGTCCTTAATCGAAACGACTGTCGAATGATGATGTCGTATTGAAACGCACCATTCACCTGTGTGAGTTTTATACAATAAATTGCATTATATTTGCTCGATATTTCCCACAATACTTACAGCGATGACGCAACTATCGTCGCCCTGTGGCTTCAGAGTGAATGTAACATCATCGACGTAATGTTTCAGAGGAGTCTCATGTGTGAGTTTTATAACACCGCCACTGTTACTCGTCAACTATAAGATATGGGAGATCACATCTAATAGATATCCATACTTATATCAAATGATCTTATTTTACATAATGAAAATATAGCCTACTTTTCTCTCATTATGAGGATATTACAATTGAAACATTTGTCTATTTTTTCATATTCTGAATAAGAATTTTACACACATTTTCTACTCTAGAATAGGAAAGAATACAAGCCGACCTTGATAAATGTTACAAGAACGTGACTTTCTTTAGGTGAAACATTCTTGACATACAAATAGAGTGAATTAATTTTCAGTTATCATAAAATATTGTTTCTTGTCGGGTAAAGTAATAAAATCGTCGTTGTTGAAATTCAATTCAATTTATTTCCTTAAGTTATACAACTTATTGAATAAATAAGAGTTAGAAGTACAAAGAAATCCCTATGATTTACATAAGATAAATTATCGATTACTTAATATTAGCATACCACATAGAGACACTTCTCATTGATGGGTCCGGATCTACAGTTTTCAGGACCAGACCAAGCCTGGATTTGGTTAAGGAGGGCGGTTTCTACTTGGCTGCACGCCATTCCTACGGTCCTAAGGAGTAGGATAGAGTTGACTAAAACCACGCAACACATCAATACTGACAAAGATTAAGAGATTAACCCACTGAAACAGTATTCTTTCATGTTTAAAATGTTCGCCATTTAATGAAAATATTGTGGAAAAAGAGGTGTACTTTTTACTTAAGACATTAAATGTGCTGACATTTTGTACGTAAATATTTTTGTTTAAGTAATCGTTTTTTAATTATCCTCGAAAATAGAACACCTTAAAAATGATAATATTCATATCAAGTTTTGATATATAAGATATTCATACCACTGTGCTTTGCATGATGCGTGGATAGGTCCACTAACAAGAAAGGACAGAGATGTTCCCACAAGGCCAAGGAAAACGGCACCAGCTATGTAACCTTTCATGGTTAGACGTATGGACGATAAGAACACAACTCAGTTGAAAGGCTAGAGATCAAATCTTCGCGACTTTAAACTATTTCCATATTTCATATCTTAAAGGCTTGTTAGCTTGATCAGAAGTCATGTATGTTTATGTGTAATGTAACTAGAATGATGAATTAAACTGATGTTAGATAGAATTCCGGAAATTTACAGGATAATATTCCATGCGCATTGTTACAAATAAAAGTTCTGTTAAAAAGTACGAAATTTGGCTTGAAAATTAATAAAACTTGGTAAATTGTTGACATTAGGAATGACAACAAAGGTTCGAGTGGTTTAGTAAGAAAGATAAGAATATTTGATAATTTATCTATTGTTCTGTATTACGACCTGTACCATACCTTACAGCTGACACTGGAATATGTTACATAAATATTCTAACTTTTGTCTTTGTGTGTTCGTTCTCATGCCCTATCTACCAGACACTATTTTTTTTAAATTCAACTCCGATATGAATGTAGAATTTCTTTAGTCTTCCCTTCTCGTTAAATTCTGTAATTATATTGAATTTGTATTTTGAAAGTACAGTCCATTTACTAGTATATTGGTATAATGGTGCTCCATTGGATCCTTTTGAATGCGCTGTGGGTTTTTTTTTATCTCTATGTCAGTATGATTTATGTGGTAAATATCTGTAAATGATAATTAAAAAGAACATAAAGTAATCGTTTGAATTTTTTAATTTCAATATCGTGTACAATTGGCGGAGGAGTGTTGAGTGCAGATAGAGTCACTTGTGGTCTCTGTGTATCCTGCCAGCTGTGTAAGCTGGGAACCTGTGAAAGATCAACACGAGTCATGAAGCAATCATGTTTTTACTATATCGTTGTCGATTTCGTCACTTAGGATCTAATTCATACATAATGAATCAATATATACAAGGATGTAATATTTTTTTCTATTCTATTAGAAACAAGCTAGGTAAAACCATTCTTATTCATGTCCTTATATACAATTATCATATAAAGATACCTCATTCGGGTTTATTTACAAAATAAATATAATATTAAGACCAGAAAATTAAAATTAAACACGTGTATAAAGTAATAGAATGATTAACCAACAACTGAAGTCAACCCACTGCTTTGTCACCAAGGTTTTGGTAAATCCTCGAAAATTTGACAGATCTAAAAAAAAAAAGGATAATGATAAAGATTTGCAGTGTTATAACTTGTAAGTGTTCTTACCTTCCAGGAGATTATACATATTACAGTAATTTGTTCCGTAATCGAGCACAGCGTACCAAGTCTCTGCCCTAGACACACCCTGTAAATCAATAAGCAGTTCATATAAACTCCATTTTATATCTTTATGAAAGCAAAAAGCCGTTACCACAAATCTTACGATTTAATACACTAGATGCATTCTACATTAAGTTTGCCTTGAAGGGTGTGTTTTCATTCACCCTGATTGACATCTAAGAAAGGAATGCTTGTTTCAAATATATATTGATATGGCGAGAAAGTCACCTTTCTGGAACACCTGACATGTTGGCAGCGTTTCCATGTAGCTTTTATAATATGTTGCCCTCGTCCAATTAATTTTGAACTTGAATTTGTTTCGCTAGCTTGTATTATTACTCAGCTATAAATGACTGAAGAGCATGAATTTGGTTCAATATCCTAGTCGATGTGACTATTATTTAATTTATTATGCCATGCTAGTGAGTAATGGTTAAACGTTAAAAGGTAAAATGTTTTTACTGAGATTAATATCCTGTGCCTGAAATTGAACACATTATGGCTTAAGTGAAAATGTACTGAACCTCAGCTGTATTTCATTACAGAATATTTTATTGATATAAACAATCAAAAGGATTAGACAGCAGGCTAGAGCCTATATAAGTCTTCTCCCAAGACAACATGGTATTCATACATAACCATAACACACCATACACCATAAACATACATACATACATACATACATACATACATACATACATACATACACACATACATACATACAAACCTTACATTACATAAATACAATCCTAAATTTTGTAAATTTTGTGTTGACAGACTAATCAATTTTTAAATTATGGGAGACAACTCTGTTGTTTTTTATACTTTAAGATTATGATTGTAAGAAGATAATCCACCAGCTTTTCAGTTTATTATGTCTTATGATATTAAAAATGTGCATTACATGTACTTTCTCCCTTCATATAAAAGGGGTTTGGGCCAGAATGTCCAGAATATGTGAAATATTGGAAATAAATTTGAATTAGAAATAATAAGGGGAAACAGGGGGAAAGTAACTAACTATTAATCAGCATTCATCTTACCTCAGTTGTAGTGATACAATGTTTCAGTTTTAATTCGGCGCTCAGCATCGGAGGGACATCCCCACCGTATTTTTTTAACTGTTTTCGTGCCCCTCAGTTCAACCAACTTATCTTGACAATAAATTAACCGAGAGCCATACTTAGCTTCATCCTCTACCACCGTGGCATTTAGTTACATATACAATGTACTTGTACGTATATGTGTATTGCCTTTGGATATAATAAAACTTGAAACTTGAAACTACCGTGACAGTACAATAACTGCCAGCCGTACCTAGCTACACACATTTATTGTGACAGTACATTGTCCACCAGTTATCCCTAGCCCCAACCCCTTACTGCAACAATGTCACTCAGTCGTCCTCAGCTCCATCCACTTACCAAATCAGTACAGTGCCCGACAGTCATCCCTAGCCCCAACCACTTACTGCAACAATGCCACCCAGTCGTCCTTAGCTATATCCACTTACCGCAACAGTACAGTGCCCCCCAGTCGACGTTCTGTTTCCATCGGTGAGTGTAAATATTATGTCGTCGATATAATGTTTCAGTGGCGTCTCGTGCGTAAGCTTAACAACGCCGCCGCTGTTACTTTTCAACTGAAAGTACATATTGTCAATTATCTATTTTGTTATAATATTCTACTACCCATTTGATTCTGAAATCTAAAGAAAATGATAAATACTTTTTAACATTCTTTTCAAAGCTGAAAACAAAACTTGAAAAGTGATTCTGTGATGGATTAAATTTTTGTGAGTTTACTAAAAGTGTGGAGCAAAAATTACGTTTTAACAGTATTCATGAAGTGAACAATGATTTTCGTGATTACGTTTATTGTGTTCAACCTTTACAATAGGAAACCGCTGAAAATGTTTGTGAAATAACTTAAAACTAGCGAGTTCACGTATTCGTTCTTACAAAATATAAACTTTATCAAAATGCTTCATTATCTATTAATTTAGATTCTACATTTACTTTCTTTTTCTTGCTCTCCAAACCTGATTATGAAAATAAAGAGGCAAACGAACTCACCACATAGAGGCACTTCTCGTTGATAGGACCAGACCTACAGTTATCTGGGCCGCTCCACGCCTGTACTTGTGCCAGTAGCATCGACAGCACGGAATCACAACTTTTCCCAAACGTCCTTCACGGAGTGTCGTGCAATGTAAAATACTTTTTTTTATTTTTCAGTACCGAAAAGGTTTATAAAGTCACCAAGATCTTCGAGTCGATAAATCAACTTAGAAAAAAAAATATTTTCAAATATTCATATTATCATATATCAATTCAATCTAATTTTAAAGTGACTTTATCTATCATACTTATTCTTCTAAAGATAACTGAAATAGTTAAAGATTTAGTAAACATGTATTGAATATATTTGTTGTTTTCCTTCAAGATGTGTAAATAAAATTGAGGAGATAAATCGATAACAACAACCACTTCGACAGAAATGACAATGCTTTTTATTTCTTTTTCGCTGTTTTTCATCGTAATTCTGTTTTTCAGTTTAATATTTTTGGTAATTGCAATTTATAGAAATATATTTCGGTCTCAGTGTCTTTAAAACAGTTAGCTAGCCGTCAATAGACCTTCATTCATACGAAACTTATTTCAGCAGCTAAATACTGAATGTGAATGTACTAAACGTAAGGATAATGAATAAATAAATACTAGAAATAGGTTTGGTATATCTAACTACCATTCACCTACCAGGTGGCTTTGCAGGAGGCGTGCGCCGGTCCATTTACAAGGAATCCAATGGAAGTTCCTATCAGGCATACCAGAAGAGCAAGGACTGTGTGCCCTCTCATATTGTCAGATCTGGATCAACGACGGAAATGAAATCATAACTACGTTCTTTATATAGCAAACATCACGTTATGATAAGGCTAATCTTGTGATTTGAAGAAACGTTAAGCAACACGTGTCTTTTTTCTGCTACCTCGGCACTTACTTTCGTACACAAGGCAGTACTTGGTGAGAAAGTGTCGAAGTTTCTTGAGAATTTCGTTTTGATTCTTGCTATGCTTTTATATTACAGCTTCTATGTTATCTTTATGTGTTATGTTTTCATGTTAAGATATCGTATCATGAATATTGCTCGCATAGTGTTCAATGTATGGTTCGTACTTTGTAACGACCTTTTCATTCTGAAAGAACGAAACAACATAGCAATCTGTTTCACGTTTAAGCTTTACAATACGTAATGATCATGAATTAGTAAGGAGCAATCCACCAGTATTGCTTTTGCTTAATTTAGCTACACTACAGAGATAGCTTTCACAACATCTTTCTGTTGTTGTTTCCGTTTATAATGGTATATAAAACATACAATGATTTAATGTTATTCTCATTATAATCTTATGTATAAATGAATTGTTCTGATAACTAAACGTCATTTGACTTTTTTCACAAGAATAAGATTGTAAACAAATCTAATAGATATTTCAACGGTATCCAAAAATAGAATGACATTCCATCATATACAATCTTCTTGTGTGTGTGTGTGTGTGTGTGTGTGTGTGTGTGTGTGTGTGTGTGTGTGTGTGTGTGTGTGTGTGTGTGTGTGTGTGTGTGTGTTTGTGTGTGTGTGTGTGTGTGTGTGTGTGTGTGTGTGTGTGTGTGTGTGTGTGTGTTGTGTGTGTGTGTGTGTGTGTGTGTGTGTGTGTGTGTGTTGTGTGTGTGTGTGTGTGTGTGTGTGGTGTGGTGTGTGTGTTTGTGTGTGTGTGGGGGGGGGATTCTTTTAAGTATCATAGATATTAAAGCATAAAAGAAATCTTGCTTTAAAAGAAGAGAATGAGGAGCAGATAAGTATATTTAACATCTTTGGATTTAAAGCAGTATATTCTTTTTCATCGTCATTCCTGTCAATTCTAGTAACCACTTATCACACCAAGCCGATAGAAGCTTCACTTCGTAGTTTTTGCATTTATGTATTTTTTATCGTCCGTAAAATGTAAGCTTCATATTGTATTCTACACATATATCTGGTAGGTCATTAATGTATATTTCAAACAATGTTGGCCCAAGCACCGATCCCAGGGGATCTCCTGGGGAAACACTGTTCCGGTCGGAAAGTCATTTAGCGTGACTCCTGGTTTCCTGTTGAAGGTGAAGCTGGTCGACAATTTGATGTGTTATCAGTTAACTATATGATGACACTTTATTTAAAATCATTTTGTGTAGGACTGTATAAAACGCTTTCTGAAAATCTACATATATACAATCGTTGGAGTGGCCATTATTAAAATGGTCTGTGAATTCATTTAGAAGTAATTAATTGAAGTATGCATGAATTTGTCCAACTATAAGAATATCTAAGCTTTCTTCCTGTCATCTGGTACAGCACGTGTTTTCAGGGAAATTGAATATCATATTGCTAATGGTAATGCTCTCGTTTCTGCCTTTTTTGAGAGATGTCCAGACGATTTGTCAATATCTAAGTTTACAATCTTTTAAGAATATAAGAATATATATATATATATTTGTTTCTTTCTTTCTCTGGTTATGTAACAAACACACCTTGAAATATGAATTCAACATACTGTAAATCACTTCTTTTAGCGAGTATTACATTTGCGAAAGGTAAGTAATTGTCTTATTCACGAATACATGTTTTATCGGGTACTTCACCACAAAAGTCATTTATTCAAGGACATCAAGTATATTCGCAAGGGATTTGAATTCGCGAATGATGCTGCTAGCATCAATAGTTCTATAAACCAATTTCCAAAATAGAAACGTTACAATAATACAAAATGAACTCTTTAATCATTCTACATTATTGTCATATTGTCATTTGTATGCAAACAAAAACTTTTGAAAGAAATATTAATTGGAAGATTTTGAGGGGATCTTTAAATTGTTCAACACAACAACGAAAAGGTCCTTAACGTCTTACAAGTATAAATCTGAGGCCAACGATAACAATAACTCGTTTTCAAAAATTAGAGTTTCGTTTAATTTATTTTATGACGGATTTTCAGTTTCACTAATAGTGTCCTTGGTCACATTAAAACGTTTATTTCTATGTCCACTGCTTGTGTTCGTTCTTTCCAAACATGTTCCACTAGAGTTGAGCTGTGCACTATTGTCATATTTTGTGTCGGGCGAAAATCCTTACTGACCAATATACCGGAAGTTGATATACGTGTATTATAGATATTTACTGATCATTCTAAATAGAACACAGCTTCTGTCCACAATCATCCCTGTCACCTGTATTAAAGGCGTGAGACCTAGCGACGATATCATAACAACACTGAAAATTGTTTTGTTGTCCATCAGCTGGAGCAAAAGTCCATAACATCCACATAGTACAATGACCCACACAGCGTTGATAGACAGAAACCAAGCCACTACCTTGTTTCTCATCACACGGAGTCCTTCTGTCCTTTCGTCCGCTGTCATTCCTCCCTGAACATTTACCCCTACTAAATCATTCACTACTTTTTCCCAGAACGAAACCTCGTCTTCGTTGAAGTTTTGAAGGTCCAACACAGAACTGTTCAAACTTGTGTACGATCCTGTTGTATTAGAAACAAAATCAGGAGTTATGAAATCACCTTTACAACACATCCTTGCCTGTTTATTTTATATCAAAGTATTTTTCACATTGATGTAACATATTTCACAAATTCCGTCAAATTACATGTAGCTATATGGACAAACCGATCCGATAGGAACAATATAATCTTGTCAGACAACACAGGGAACTTTCTGTAACCTTAACCGCCTGTGATTTAATATTTGCAGAATGGAGGAAATCTTACATCCTAGTTTTTGATAATTGATACGAAAGAACACACGAGGATCATTACCAGATGTTTCTGGAGAATAGAGTATTTTGTTTCATCGATGACACTGGTCATCTAGGTTACTCCGTGTAATATATATTAAATTCCCAGCACGAGCTCCTACAATCATATCTTACAATGCTATTCAGCTTCTGGAATAGAAAGTATCATTCTGTAGATTAGAAAATCTTACCTCGATATGATGACAGCGACCTTGCCTTCTTTTTCTTTTTTCGCTTTTTCAGTTTCGGAAGACTTAAAAACTTTGGTACCTTTGCCAATTGCTTAAGACGAAAAAATGTGAAATTTATAACATCAATTTTGATTCGATAATTCGGGCATATAAATTTTCGCAAACAAATGGAATCGAATTCATGTGTTCTAAACATTAAAAAATACTTATAACATACTTGACACATGTCATGTTTAAACTCGATACTGTTTAAAAACAGCTTATCTAAAAAAAAAACACACAGTTTTCCCCCTTTTTTATTCAAATTTTCAATCATAACATTTCAATACATCAATACATATGCACTCGTACATGTATGTTTTGTGAATTTTAGTAAACCGGTAATTACGAAAACGTGAGTTGTGTAACCAAACATTAAGCAAAAGAAAGAGTAATGGACAAGCATTATCTGTGAGTATTTAATACTTTATCACTTACATTGTCCCTCGTACCCCAGGATTGGTCAATAATATTACACAATGCATACACTGGCAGGATGATGTTCAGTAGAGGTAGAAAGAACATGTAAGGCAGGCCATACACCAGTAGGTGGAGTTCTGAAGGATGAAGAAGACCGGCTAGTAGGTAAGTAGCCGCTAGGGATAGTATCAGTACATACTCGATGTGTCCCATGGTTTGCTCCTGGTAATCTGAATTTGTAACATTCCTCATTAACATTTAATTGCAACATGATGAACACAATTCATTACGAGTTTTTATTCTCTCACAAATTTTGACATTTGATGTCAAAGCCGGAATATCTACTTTTAGCTTTGGCATAGCTTTATCCTGAAAGAGCGGGCCCTTACATATTTAGATACATTTTCAACATTCAGAAAAGAACCTTGATACCGTATTTTATTCCATATTTCCGAAAAAAAAATGGTTTTCTTTCAATTTTTTAGTTTCAAATTATATGTAATTCTATTATCATTTTCACAAAAATATAAACTGAAATTATCAATTCGAGCTCTATCAAGTTCTATGTCATTTAAATGATTATATACTTTGTAAAGTGTAAAACTAACCCTGAATCAGTGCTTTGACTATAATCACAGACGTCGAACCAAATACGTACAGGGTTCCCAACCCCAGCAATATTATTAGAACTTTTGATATCACCAGTTGTACCGAAGCTGGGATGTCTTTGATCAAGATTATACTGTAGCCAACGATCAAAATGTAAAATGTTGGTGTTATGGCGAAAAGGGGTATTCCTGAACCCAGTTCCAGACCTAGCGACAGCATCATTACGGTTGCACCAGGATACAGGACCATAATAAGGAACAACTGTATTAAATATAATACGTATGTCAACGAAAAAACGGAGTTAGAGGTCATCAAATTGGCGATATTTTGAATCACAAGTAAGGCGTTTGTGTAGTCTGAGAGAAGCCAGCGCCTCCGTTGCTTCATAAACTCTAGGGTAGTCTCCGGACAAAAAGTGCTGTTCTGTCCTGCTTGTGTGTATCGGAGTTTCCACCCTTTCAGCATCATCAGCGTACACATCCAACGGTCTTCTCCTGAAAGAGATGGATGACAATCTGAACTCATAACTGATATGGTTATTTTGATTTGATTAGTTAAGGATTAACGGAAACAATGTCCAATAAACTTGATCTTAGGATATTTCTTACATGGAATTATAATTGTTGTCTTTTCGGTTCAGGTTCCACTCTTTACTTCAGGGCACGGGAATGGTAACGATAGGAAACAACACAGAAATAGGGCAATATTCTTGCAACCTTTAACGCTGTATGTAGATGGTGATTTTATGTCAATGAAAATTGATTAATAATCTACCGGAACGGACAATTGTTTTTTTTTTACGGAGCCAATGCTTCAAAATAAATAAATAGATAAATAAAGAATATGAACAGACCTAGAACTGGAAGAAACCGATGCAGAAGTTTTTTTAAAGTACACGAACGTGATTGAAAACGCAAAATTCTTTATGAGCACTCATGTCCGAAACAATGTAGATTGTCCAAGCAGTTGTGCCTCTGAAAACGCGCATTTAATTATGATAACATCCAGTATATTTTCGAAGTATTAGGGTTGGGTGTATTATAACATCTGGTATATTTAGTATTAGGGTTAGGTGTATTATAACATCTGGTATATTTTCGATGTATTAAGATTTGGTGCATGGTACAATATGGTATATTTTCGATGTATTAAGGTTAGGTGTCTGATAACATCCAGTATATTTTCGATGTATCAGGGTTGGGTGTATGATAACATCCAGTATATTTTCGATGTATCAGGGTTGGGTGTATGATAATATCTGGTATATTTTCGATGTATTAAGGTTGGGTGTATGATAACATCTGGTATATTTTTGAAGTATCATGGTTGGGGCAATAAATGGAGTAAGTTTTGTATTTACCATTGTCCTTTGTAAATACATCCATCACCGTCTCTGTAGGACTCGAATATGTAGAAAAGATATCAGATAGGGCTTCAAAGCGAAACAGACTGAAGCATCCCGGGCAGCACATTACAGATCCTATCACATTCTGGGAGCTCTTTATCATCCAGAAATCTATCAAAATCAACATCATAACTATGTAGATCTTTTGGGGTTTTTTTGTTGACAAAAGATTATTTACACTCACAGTTTTCCAAATTATTTCAGAAAATAGCATGTCAAATCACGCATGGGTCATAGGTTCAAGTTTCAAGGGAATCTGAGATAGTTATATTTTAAAAGTTTTTTTCGTGGGCTCAAATTAAATCTTCCTTTAATAATGTTTTGTATGTCTTAACGATGCTAATTCCTAACAGAGAACCTTTACACAACGATCTCAAAATACTTTTGAGATAAGAAGAACGAACTTACCTTTTGCAAATTCAAACATCTGCAGCCAGAGTATGGGATGTCTGTACAGACCAGTTGGACAGGTCCTTCCACAAACTCCCCCAACATCTGGGTCTTTCTTGCAGACATCCACGACTGCAAGGACAGCTTCTTCGTCGAATGACATATCGGCGTCCGTCATCAGGATATAATCATCCTTTGATCTCGACAGAGAAGGACCAGCTATATTTGACATAGAGAGAGACACAGAGAAAATAGTACTTTCCTGCGTATGAATTTCCAATGGTGTTTCTTTGACAAACAAATCACTTCCAGCTCGACTGCGAGTTTCACTTGGAAAAAGACTTCCGTCATTTGACGCCATATCTATTGCGAAATTGTCAGCTGAACTGCCATCCGTATCGTCACCGGCATGATTAAGAATGATGTCGGGAATGTCCAAATAATTACTGCTGGAAAATGTCGTCTTGTCTCCACCACTGTTGCTACTAGGCAAGTAATAGTCATTTAACCTATCTAAAGACTCTGTGAACGAAGGATTGGAAGACATCGTCTTAGACTCGTAAGGAGTTTGCATACCTCCCCATTTGGATCGGTATTGGAGAATGTATTCTAAATACATCACCTGACTCCATCGTTTCTTTGCCTTCACCTTTTTCGTGTCTTTAAGATGTATGAACAATGGCGTGCCACATTCCAACACCCAATGTAGCTGTATCCCGTACGGTGTGTACAACATAATCCCAGACTCTGGTCGAAGATCAATCCTTTCCTCTACCAAAAATAGTAACTGTTTACCAAAATCCTTCATTTCTTTACCATCTGCACCATTATCAAGAAATATGTGAGATTCAATGTTGATGCCATTTTCTTTGAGTTTCTGTGACGTCATTACACGATCTAAACTTTCGAGAAGCCTATCCATCTCATGCTCAGCTTCCTGGTACATTGTAGTACAAATAAAGACTCGAGATGGTTTGTTCATCGCACGTTCCTTCGCTTCACTAAGATGTTTTCCAAACACTTTCTGTTGTATCAACATAAACTGGAGAAGCAGCACGGAATTGTAACGTTGCAAAGTCCTTTGTTGCTTAGCAGCTTCCACACTATCTCCATGTGTTTGAAAACACATTGGTATAAATACCAAACTCAATGGAAGCATAGCCAAAACAGCAGACGTGGTAATAACGACGATTAGGTCGGCCGTTACAGGTATATCTTCAATAGATATATCAATCATATCGAAATTGACTGGCCCATGCATAATACGGACTATGAAAAATATTGAAATTAAGATGGGAGATAAAAAACTTGGGAAAAACGTGGAAAGTTGAGATTTCTTTGGAACAATATACGATAGCAGTGAAACAAATGAAAGTGTGCAATGCACAGAAATCAAAATATGAAAATTTTCCAAAATACTAAATACTTGAAACCCATACATTAAATGTCGGAGATCTAGGGATATAAATCCATTTGTGTCACTGTTGAAACATAATATACAAAACAAAATATACGTAAAGGTCCTCATTGATCCATACAGCAGTGACGTGTTGTGTAACGATGCCTCAGAATTTCCATGGATGTGGTTTTGGACGGGAGTATGCAAGGTAACTGACGCACCGATTAATGAAAGTGGTAGCAGCGCGGCTTGGTATGGTAGGAGTATACCCGAAGTTGATAAAAAAATACTTGATATCACTCCAGCTAGAAGGAGAGCCGTGCAGCATAAAATCTTCAATGTGGGTTCCAGACATGTGTGTAGATATTTGGTTTGAATTGCCTGAAAGTAGAAGCAGTAGGGAAGTATTCTAATATTTAACACTGTAAAACCATCAAATTATGTGGGAGATTTATTGTCGTTGACTTAATGGGTACTCTTAATTCATATAACTTCGAATCCATTATAAAATTGAGTTTAGTACTTTGAGCCACATTGTGTCCACAAAGTATTTTTTTCAAAAACAACGAAATTTGAGCCCTACCAAAATATCTTATTTAACATATTATATGTTACCTTAGAGCTCAGTGTCATGCATATCGATTTAACTTATGGTTTTTACTTTAATTAATATTTCGTATATATAACAAAGTGATAGCATGAACATGACCGTTTTCCACTTGATATATTTCACTACGTGCTTAGAAATTGCAAATAAACTGCACTTAATAAAACTATTTACATATTTACAGGAAGCGTGATAACAGGAAAACATGAATCAAACATGAGAAAATACTAAATTTCGGTCAAATTACTAAAATATTCGATAAATACAGCTACAAGGATTCATATTTTATCGATACGTCAGTGAAGAAAGCCATCATTTAGTGGCTCTGTTCAAGAAAATCTTTCCTGAAAAAGGTTGGTGTGTTTACTGTAAATAGTGTTCCAGTTTTCGCTGACAATGTTTTTATGACTGAAATTTGAATAATTGAAGATATTACATTTACCGAAGAAACGTAGATGTGCTTAAGACGTCGAGTAGGATGTAAAGAATTTCAATTACTAAGATAATTATAGATACTTTTTAATTTACAATTCATATGTACACGAATTCCTTCTTAATCTGTTAACGTTAGTAAGCTAATTGATCCAGCAATTTTCTTATCAACGAACAATCGAATGCCCACAAAATAGTTATTTAAGAAAAAAAAACATGAAACTTTTAGCTTCGCGAAAATATCTGATTTCACAGCTGTAAGTGTTTTATAAATTACCTGTTTCCATACCAGTCCGAGGTTTCATCGGACATGGATTGTCACATAGCATACCTTAACTGATAGTGACAATTCCGGTAGCAGTGTCAGGTTCAGTAACGGAAGTATCACGTAACCTGGTACCCGGGGTAAAATTATGTATGTCAACAGAGATATACAGCCGGCCTCGATGATGCTAAGAATGATGCCCTAAAAAAATCATTTAAATAAGAGTTTCAAAGTAAGTGTTACAATATAGAACAATAGAATAAATCTGTCAAGGGAATTATATTATATATATTTAGAGTTTGGATTATTTTGATGTTGACATTTTGGTATCTTCTCTACGAAAAATTAATATTCCTTTCTACCATTAAATAATAATCTACATTATTGAATAAAAAAAAATCACGAGTTTTATTTGTTCATTCATCTATTTATTTTATTTTTTTTATTTATTTATTTTTTTTTTTTTTTTTCATTTTATTTTTAACACACGAGTATTCGATACAATAAAATAACATACTTTCATAGTTTTGACGACAGACATCAAATATATATCTTGTGATACTAGTCAACTGAAACTTGTATCTATAACCTTGTTAAATAAAACGGAGTAGTAGTCTAAACACGTTACCCTAAATAAAAACCATTTAAGATAAAGAATATACTTATCATGCTATTAACAGTCATCGTCATAACTAAACGATTATTGAAATGTGCTATTTCACTGGATCTATTTCAATCTGTAGCAGGAATGTGGCGCCTGCTTATCGTCATACATACACTGCATATCCCTCGGAACAATGGCCATTTTTTCATTTTCCCATCAGTCAGGAAAGATGCACACCAAAGTATTTGTATGATATGAACAACTTCTGGTATGATCAGCACAAACCCTATACACACATACCTAAAGCAGTCAAAAGAAACACATCTTAATGCTTTGCAAAAAAAAATCAATTTAATCGATAGATCATCGAGAGTGATGACAAAATATCAATGGCGTCATTTAAAGTGAAAAGATTCTAATAAATATTATGAGTATCATTATCATGATATCAACGGATAAATGCCAAAAGATGGTGACGGGGTATTAACAGAGAAACGACGACACTGTCAATAACACTATATTAATTAATAAAGGTCATAAAAACTGATGAACGACATGTGAGAAAGATTGGACAGCGACGACATGTGAGACTGACACATTATCAACATGATTTGAGAGTGACAGAATATCAGCGACATGTGAAAGTGACATGATATCAAAGACGTGTGAGACTGACACATTATCAACGACATCTGAGAGTGACAGAATATCAACAACACGTCACATTGACATAATAGCAACGACATGTGAAAGTGACATGATATCAAAGACATTTGCGAGTGACAGAATATCACCGACATGGGAGATTGACAGAATATCAAAAACAAGCGAGAATGACAGAATATCAACAAATGAGACTGACAGAATATTTACGACACGTGCGACTGACAGGATATCAAAGACATTTGAAAGCGAGATAATAGCAACGACATATGAGAGTGACAGAATATGAACGACATGGGAGATTGACAGAATATCGATAAAAAAAGTCACATTTACAGAATATACGTAGCAAAAAGTACTGGAATTAAGTGTTATGAATTCGATAAATAAATAAACTGAAGGAAAGAAATTTGAGTGACGGATTGTTTATCAAATTTCGCCTGGTGTCTTGCACAAGATATCAGCCATATAACTTTTTACTGTCAACTTTGACTCAAAATCACCATTAAAGAATGATGCTTTAAAATCAACGCCGTTCGTTTGGATCAGAAGTAAATATTCCTGAAATAAGTTGTTTTTTGTAAAACTATTTGCAATTAGCCTTTTGCTTTAAGATATATTTTTGGAATGAAAAAATAGAAGATGTAGCTAATTTGATATTTTAATTGATTTGATATGGCTTATGTTGGAAAGAATATTGTTACATTATCAGTAATACCCTGATATCAGAATGAAAATATGAATAGGAATTTACATAAAACGGAACACATAGATATAATTATATATCTTCAAGACATTCTTTCGTCCTTTTTATATCAACTTTCTATTCGAGATTTTTTAAATTTAAGCGGTTGGACGATAACAAATACGTGAACTTTACCATACTTCCAGGCGAGTGTCATCTTTCCTGCCTAAAGCCAGAACGAATGCAAGCTGGGCAATACAGAAGATTATCAGCAAGAAAAGTAAAAATCCAAAATGTACTAAAACCTGGAAAAGATAAAGATGACAAAATAGTTATGAAACAAGATGGAGAATACAAGTACATGTAAATGTTTGTCAAGATATGGTAACTATAAAGAATTACTCTGTACGTAAATCTAAAAGTATTTTTTTTAAATATCTGTATAACAAATATAGGCATTGGACCATTCGGTTGGTATAGAAACAAATTAGGAATATATGTACAATAGAAATTACCTTACACACTGTCGATGAATTCATTTCTAATATCCGCAGCCAAGGAACAAACTACAACTGAAATGAAATAATTTATGTTTGCTGTTGAATCCTGTTTCAGTTGACAGAGTTTTGTACATTTCCTTCATCATTTAGGCAACGGAAAAAACAATGACTTAGCAACAGCAACGGATATATACACTACATTTTAACAACACTTAAATCCGCCCAGACTACCGCCAGACAAATTCGTAATTAAAGTTTTCATTTTCTTTTTTTTTAGAAAAACAAGGATGTATTCACAGTGATTCTCTTTTGTCGCTTACACAGTCTAATGCTATAACTGTCCAGATACAGCCATCAGTTTGTGTTGTATTACGTCCTTTGGGCGAACATTCTACCGTATCTTATCATTAACATATAAACAGGTATACAATTGGATTGGTCAAGAAACCAGAAAATAACCTTGTTGCAGGTATACAACATCAATGTTTGCCTTAAGAAACTAGAGAGAAGACGAAACGTTTACGATCGATTTAATTTTGGTGGTTCTAAAATACACAGACAATTTGTCAAAATATCCTTTTATAGAATTGTTTTAAACAAAGCAGGATTTACGTATAAAAGTGCACAATTTAATTTGAAAAAAATATATATACTTCAAAATCCATCATACATGGTCTAAATATGAAAAATAGAATAAATGAAAAACGAGATTTTTAAAAAGTGAGCAAGGATCATTAAATTAATAATAAATGGAGCCATCTTTGTATATATTGAAACTAGTTTCACATGTAATGATAAAACATGGTTTGAAATGCAATGTAATGCAGGGTACAATATCAATTAAATGTATTTGTACAAGTGTAGGTACCAACCTTTGTTTCGCTATTCCCATCTGTACCCTTTTGTCCTTTTGTAGATATTATATAAAGCTCCCCGTAGCTCTATGTGGGAAGATATTATGTTTTTTTCTTATTTGAACCGAATGATGGGTGGTTAATGGGTGATGCGATGTCAGGGATGACGTCATGACATACCGTGTGTAGATAACGTAGGTGTGATCATCCTGTCATGGTATCCTACTCCTTTGTTCTTGTATCACATTCAGGTAGAATGAGTATCCACCTATTTTCATTGCAATGTTTTTAAGTTTGGCTACTACTCGAAGTTATAGAAACAATATCTTTTACCCTTTTTGCCCTTTTTTCCCTCCTTGTTAGTCATTTTTGTTGTACGTTCTTAAATCACAATTAACTGTTCTAGTGTGCTGTGTGTTATCAGTCATTAATGTTTTGAATATCAGCTGGTGCTATTACGTGCCTATTATACAGCCTTTCCTTTTGGGTGTAGCAGACACTACTGGTTGTCTCAGCTGTTTGCTATATCCTGCATGACCTGTTTGATTAGATTTTAATATTCGCAGTGCCCATATGAAACACATACTTCACGTTCTTTTAAAATAGTCAAGCTAACGTAATAGTAGGGCCACTACACTTCAACATATAAACTTTAACATTAATGTTTTGCCAAATTTTAATTTTCATTCGCTGTTTAGGATTTAACAGTTTGTGTCTTTAGTGGAAAAACGAAACGTATAATGTCATTTAATTCATCACTTGGCTCTTCTCATTTAACTCACAATTCTATATTGAAATTAACTAATCTCTCGTATATTTTTTGCATAACCTTCATTGACATGAATACATACATTTTTAAAAACTGATTTGTGACTTTCTCATATATGTTATGAACTTTTCGATCTTTCTGTCTAGAGATGTCATAGATCTCATAGCTATATCTGTTGATACAAATGACCTCGATGGACGATATCTGTTAAATTAATCAATGGATGTAGTACATAAATTGCTTGTTATAAATGTATACATGGGAAAAGGTTGGCGTTACTTGTTACAGAAAGCTTTAATTTGTTTTACTATACATGGTAAATTTTTAGGAGAGGAACTAATTTGGTTTCTGTTACCTTTTCTCAATATTATGACTTTCCGTGCAATATGTCGGTAAATGATAGAAAAAGTCGCAACATGGGTTTTCGTGAGATGGAGGTTGGGGACGTTTTTGATAGACATAATGATTTTATAGAGAATACTTATTTAATTGTGTGATATGGAGTTTGAAGCTAGTTAGTATATCTGCATTTCCATTGTTGTTTGCCTTGTTCTCATTTAAGAAAGTGTCTTTACTTACTGGGATTGACCAAGATTGATATGGCAGGTGTAGTCGATAAAGCAGAAGACGCTTACCCTTCTCGAACGTCTGTTCTTATTCTCTTTGTACTTTTTAAGACTCTGAATGTTTCTTTTGTTCATATATTTAAGTTTTATCGAGTTATGCTTGAAAGCGACAGACAAATTGCAACATGTGAATGAAGATTCTGTTACGATTGTTTCCTTATTTTTTCCTCAATTGAGAGCGTAACATAAGTTGAATTGCAGTAGACTTATAAAACAGCTATTTTTGGTGACGAAGATGACATCTGCACTACCGTAACAGCTGCTCTTATTCTCTTTGTGCTTGTACATGGGATTCAATGTAATCGTTTCATCGATTTTGACATTTAGTTGTAATTTTGTTGGTACATTGTAGTTACTTGTTGGTATTTGAGAAAGCTTTAATCGGCTTTTCGTTTTTGTTTATATGGTAAATCAAGCATAGAACAAGGTTTTAACAGTTACTTCGCTGCTGTCCCATTGTTAAAACGTACTTTTGGAATAATCGTAATTTACTTAAATCATTGACACTTGTAGGGTAGTCAGACGTTTGCAGCAAACATAGTGTTGGGTGTAGAGAGAAAAAAGACTTTCGCTCTTTAATTGGCTTTCCTTGGATATATATATATAATTTTGATTGTGGAAAATAAGTACAGCAAGCAATATTTGTGATTTGCAAAAGATGTTTACTTCCTATTTTCCATACTGAACGTGGGATCGTTATTATCATTTTCAGATAGTGTAATAATCCAGATGTACCAGTGGTTTTGATTGATATTTGGATTTTATTCCGAATTCGTGTCTTTTCATTGAATCTCATTTGTTACGCAACATTTTTTCTTTTATTATAAAAGAGCAAACAAGTAGCAAGCACTACTGATTTGTTAATAGAAACTGCCTTTGAGCTACCTAAAGTGGAAATGTGGAAAAACATCAAGCACAAATACTAACGTGGCAACATTATCATAAATCAAACTCGTATTCTATAAAATATTCCTGAGGACCAGCGTTGTAACTATAACATGGATGTATCAAACTTTGTACCTGGGATACATAGTGAATATCTCAATAATATACCTTATTCTTAAGCAGATTGATAATCAGTATGACATAACATAACGCACAATATACCTCACCAGTATTCTCTCCATCACTCAGAAAAATTGCATAAACAAACGAATCTTCTCCTAACTTACTTTTGTTTCGGGTATTTGAAAACATGTTCAGTTGTTGAATAGCGCATAGAGAAATAACGATAAATTACATGTATTTTGTAATTCCATTTTTGAAGATTAGAGATTGATTCTTAAAGTTAAAGGTTGTTTTTGTATTCTCGAATATCGCACTTTTGCCAGTTTAACTTACAGAAAATTCATATTTGACGGAAATCATCAAACCTACATTATAATTTACTATTATAGTATTATCCACTTTTCTACAAAAGTAACGAAAATTTGAACCGATCGAAAGTAACAACCTTAGGGTACCACTATGAATGTAGTCAGTAATAAATGATGGGCATCTACAATAGCTAAAGACGGTACTGCAAGAGTGTTGAGGTATTGTGGTATGTGTTAACCAACGACTCGTGGCATATCAAATTATTTGATGATAAAAAAAGGAAATTTTATTTTACATTGGTGCGATTATATTTATCGGTTCCATTTCTGACAAAAAAGGCGAAAAATCTATAGACGGATTTATTTCGACACGAATTCACATAGTTTTCAGAGCTATAATTTGTATATTATTCAATACTCAAAATAGTCTTATGACCTATAATTTGTATATTATTCAATACTGAAAATAGTCTTAAGACCTATAATTTATATATTATTCAATACTCAAAATAGTCCTATGACCTATAATTTGTATATTATTCAATACTGAAAATAGTCTTAAGACCTATAATTTATGTATTATTCAATACTCAAAATAGTCTTAAGACCTATAATTTATATATTATTCAATACTCAAAATAGTCTTAAGACCTATAATTTGAATATTATTCAATAATCCAAATATTCCAAAGACCTATAATTTGTATATCATTCAATACTCAAAATATTCTTGATACCTATAATTTGGATATTATTCAATACTCATAATGTTCTAACTATACATAATCGGTATCTCAGTAAACGCTTATAATGTCTTACACATTTTCTGTAAAAAATGATAATTAAAAATCATAAAAATGAAGTGTCACAAAAAACGTTCTGAACCTGCATCGGTTTACGTTTGACATCTCCCCTTACAGGATAAAAGTAATTAAACAATGAAAAATTCCACATTTATTTTCTATCAATCTACAAAATAGATGAAAACAACAATATAGACATAATCTTACCGTTGATTAGGGTTTCATCTACAACTTTTCCAGGCGGTGGGCTCGTGTTGTCCTCTGACGGGGCGTAACTTACACTGTGGTATGTTATCAGAGGGAGGTAATGTCAACAGTGTGTTCGGATGTGGGGCTATCCATTACCTCTACATAATGATAAACACGTCATTTACTAAGGCTTTGATGAGCCTGCAACAGACATACAGGTACCTGGGGAATTTAACAGTGACTTTATGTAAGAGATTTCTTTTTGATGGAGAAAACCTGAGAAACACGGAAACAAAACCCAGGAAATGGCGGTAATTCTTTGTTTGTTTATGCCGTACCCTGGCCATCATGAACGTTTATCAATGATTAAAAAAACTCCATCACTAACTCAAGTTCGTTTTTATAGTTTAAAGGATTAAACAAGACATATTACATTGGTAGGGCGTAATGTGTACGTCATGTTAAAATCCGGCGTTCTTTCT